TTTCCCTTGCCTAATTTTTAGTTGGATGCTGATAACTATGAGACTGATCCATGTCTGAAAGAGATTCGGAGAGCAGAAAATTATTCTTGGATGGATATAGTAACCATACATAAAGACAAGCTTCCAAATTACGAGGAAAAGGTATGCGAGTCTTTTGCTTTAAATAAGGATCTGCACGCAGAAGTCTACCGCTAGAGTGTGCAGCCGGCTTCTCAACACCTGCACACCCTGAGGTGTGATTTCCATGTGTAAAATACATCCTGTACCGAAGTCCTTCACATTAAAAAAGCAGTTTTGATATTATTTTAAAAATAGCAGAGGCCTTTTGCTTCTGTAGGTTGTCTTCAAAGGTTTTAAGGATAGTTTCCATTACTGTGTCACTTCAAATCTAAGATTCCTACCAGCAGAGCCCTGCCGATGCTGACCTGTCCTCCGAGAGCCTCCCCGGGATGAAGGCAGGCGGTTGCCAGCTGGGCACAGGCTTTGAAGGCTGGAACATCCTAATGGCTGCTTGCAAAATACGTCTTTTCAAAGCAAACGTTAACCTCGTGGAACCAGAGGGGTGCATTCCCTGTACAAGAAGATTTTTTATTTTTTTTTTTTTTTTACCTTGGGAAGCTGGCACCTTGGCTATTTCATAACAGTTGAACGCAAATAGTGCCAGGCTCTCAGATTAGCCTCCTAGAAGGAGTTTTTTCCTCCTGGCCTCCAGGTGCTGGCATGCTGCTCTGACCTGAGGACAGCAGCCCAGTGGCACTTCCATATTTTCATTGAATTTCCATTTACCAGTTTGTTTTAAGACCGTTTGTGTTATATTGGTTTTAAACTGATGAGAAGGTGAATTAGGTAGTAACTCCAGTTGCTTGGGTGGGCTCTGCCTGACACGGAGACGGGCCGTTATTGACAGGACATACAGACTTTTGCTCATCCTGCTGTGCTGCCTCAGCACTGGCTGAGGGACACCTGCGCTAGCATGGCTGAACAGTATCCAGGCCTGAGCAGGTGACAGTAGCTGGCATCACACTGCTCTCTGTGTGCTAACCGGCTCAGTTCTCTGCTAATTGAACCTTTAAAGCATGTTTTGTTCTGTGCTGTGAAATGTACAAAGAATTCACGGTTCTGGAAAAAATGAGCACGTTGCTGCTGCTGCTCTGGAGGAGAGAGCCCGGAGCTGGGGCTCACTGTGTGGGGGCAGGCATGACATCCTGTTTACATCAGATTGCTGTAGATGGGCCCTGTTTGGCAATAACTGCATTTTCACATAGAGTTGTAGTAGCCTGCGGGGCTAATTCGACTCTACACCAGTGTAAAAGAGGGGAGATAATCTGTAGCTCTATTTTATTTTTTTATTTATTTTATTTTTACATGTCGGGAAAAAAAAAAGGCACAAAATAATTAAACTGCACAACTGTGAGGACCAAATCCTGCAGTGGGAAGATTTACGTGCCCCTCTCTCAAACAGGTGTAAGCATTACCATTATTCAGAGACTGGTTACGTGCAGCTATAGCTGCTGTTTCTCATCAGAGAAATTCCTGTCTTCCAAAGGAAACATAGCAGCCTGCTTAGAAGTGTCCTGAGATAGGGTCTGGCTGGCTGTATTGGCCATTTTAACCACTTTGGTCTCATCTGTTAGGTAAATCACTGTGCAGTTACCCTTTGAAAGCCTTTGTCTGCTTTGCCACGTGTTTCTACCAGATTTCTTTGCAGTTTTTCTGTGCTCGGTAGTTTCAAGAGATACTTGCTCTTTCTAGATAAAAACATTTTATGAAGAACATTTACACCTAGATGATGAAATACGCTACATCTTGGATGGATCTGGCTATTTTGATGTTCGAGACAAGGATGACCAATGGATCCGGATTTCCATGGAAAAAGGAGACATGATAACCCTCCCTGCCGGCATTTATCACCGATTTACTCTGGATGAGAACGTATGTTGTTATAGATTACTGTAAATTTTGATGACAAATCCATGCAAGTATATATCACATTAGTAACTACATGCCCTGAGACTTGCAGTTCATTAGCAAAACATATTAAATATGAAGTAGGAATATGAAAAATACTAAATAATTCACAGCATCTGAACCTTTCATCTTCAGGTCACAAATTCAGCTTCCTCTCGTCAGCTGTAACTGCAAGTCATTGCCACATGATATCCATAGCACCTCTTCTGTGACAGCCGTGTGAGAGCCAAGCCCTGCGGCTGTCCCTCACGCAATTGCCCCCACTGTCGGTTGAGGTGGAGATGGATCCTTCCGTGTTGCCTTACTGTGTATCTTCGTGGTGATAAAGCACATCTGTGTCCAGCAGTGGCATTTTTCATGGGTACTTAATTCACCTTCAGGGAAAGAAGGATTTAAGGGTCCAGAGCCACTACTTGCAGCTAGTGTGTGCTAGACTGGATGCTGGTTTCACAGGAGGTGACCTGCTTTTGGAGGGTGTTTTTGGCAATGGGATTGCGAGACTGGCATGTGGAGTCCTGGTCTGTGTTGTCCATCCTCGTGGGCTTTTATAAATATGTTTGTAACCTCAGTGTTACCCCTGGAAAATGGGGAAATGTGTGCTGTGTCCTGTGTGGCAAAATCCCATCTCTGGCATAGTCTTGAGAATGGTATAATTTTGAATCAGCTGTCCAGATAGCAGTTACTGGATCTGTAAAAAAAGGGATATGCTGCTTTGGTGAAAAACATGACTTTTCATGTCTGCCTTTTGAGATCCAAAGTGAATCAGCTACAATTGCTAGTTTAAGGCTTTTTCTTTTCATAGACAAAATGTCAGGGGCTGTGGGTTGAATCCACAAGAAGTCTTATCTTTGTCCACTTCAGGAACTTTAGTACAGAAGTGCCATCTTCAAAGTAAAATCTTTAGGTTATCCTAGACCCTTGCATTTTGCAGCTACATTCTTTAGGTACCTAACTTTTTCTTGACATTGCCGAGCACCTGTGTGCAAGGTAAGCACTTGGCAGTGTTTACAAAATAGGCAGGGTCTAAACCTGTAGCATAGTTGACAGGAGAGGAGAGTTCCCCGTAACTCAGTGGTTGGAGCATTTCTGCAGGATGCAAAATCCCATTCTCTGCTGCCACAGCTGGACCTTTGCACTTGGCTTTCTTTTGGTTAGCTGGTGGCAGGGCCTGTTCCTTTTCTTTTTGAAATCTGGGGACGTTTCCTTTGCCATAGCATTATTTTTTGGCTAGTTTATGCACTCCCCGTACAGCTTTTATGGCTCTCGCTTTGAAGCCTCTGGTATTCCTCAAAAGCACTTTGTAGCCATCTTGGTGTTCTGATTGCTCTTGTTTAACTAAGCAAGTAGGAATTAGATGCTGCATTGCTCGGTATTGTGGATCCAGTGCAAAATTATTTGCATAAGACAGGATTTTGTTGGTTTCTTTGAAACAGGGAGAAGTACTGTCTCTGCCTGACCTGGAGGCATGGGTTGTGACACAATATATCACTGCATAGGTGCAAAATCTCCCACTGCAGTAGCTGGGAGCAGGAACAGCAGCGCAGTGGTACAATTTTCTGGAACATGTGAAGCTGTCAGTCCATCTTGAAATAGTTTCAAAAATTGCTACAGAAGTGCAAATGAAACCGTTAACATTGGAATTAAGATCCACTGGAAAGGAGCTCTTAAATTACTTGTGACTTCTTGTTCTTTGACAGAATTATGTGAAGGCCATGAGGCTATTCGTTGGAGAACCTGTCTGGACAGCGTACAACAGGCCGGCTGATGATTTTCCTGCTCGGAAACAGTATGTGAAGTTTTTGGCTGAAGAAGCACAGTAATGGTGTCTAAGACCTGACAGGTGGAACAGCCCAGAGCCCTGTCGGAATAAATGTGACTGGCGGCTTTTCACTGATTGCGTATATTTACATATAAGCTTAGAATCACAGAATCATAGAAAAATTTACGTTGAAAGGTCATTTGGAGGTCACCTAGTCAAACCCCCTGTGAAGTACCAGGCCAACTTCAAAGCTAGACAAAGTTACTCGAGACCTTGAGGTTTGGAAACCTCCAGTGGAAAAGGTTGCACAGCCTGTCTGGGTGCCCATTCCAGCACTTAGCTGCTCTCATGGCCAAGCATTTGTTCTTCATGGCCAAATTCCTGGTTGCAACTTGTAGTTGTCGTCTCTTCCCCTTTCACTGATGCCTGAGAAGAGTCTGGCTCTGTCTTCTCCGCAGTCCCTTCTGTAGTGGAAACTGCAGTTAGGTCTCCTCTCAGCCTTCTCTTCTCCAGGATAGACAAACTAGTGTCCTTATCTGGGCTCTCTGCACCCCAAGTTGTTAAGGAAGATGTTCAACATGACTACTAAGGAATGTCAGTTGTGACCACTTGACAGTTAGACTTGAACCACTGACTGTTTTGAGCCGATGGTCCACAAGGTTTTCCACCCATGTTGTTCATCTCCTCAGTCCGGATATGAGGCTAGTGTGGGACACACTGTTGAAAGCCTTGCTGTGCTGAGGGTGAATGGCATCTGCTGCGTGTTCCCCATCACCTAGTGTTTCATGTGCCTGGAATGGCTTCTATGATAGTTTGTTCCATAATTTGCCTGGGGACTGAAGTGAGGCTGGCCAGCCCGTAGTTCCCCAGATTCTCTTTCTTGCCTTTTTTGAAGGTGGCTGTATTGTTTACCTTTTTCTGGTCAAAAAGATTTCCCTGATCACTGTGACCTTTCAAAGATGCCAGCAGCCTTACAGTGACTTTAGCCAGTTGCCTTTACAGTTGCTCAGGAATCCATTTTCTAACCCTTTTTTCCTTGATATTTCTGGCAGGTAGAATTGGGAGAGGTGGGCTACATTAATATTCATTCTGCTCTGAATCCATGCTAATGAACTACGTAGGATTCTGTTTTTAATTAAAGAAAATAAACCTTGCTTCATTCTTGTCTAAAAATGCTCATAAGATAAATTTGCATAATCGGCATTTTAGTATGCATCTTCCCTGGTTCTGCCCTGGTACATAAAGCTGTGGTTTTCTTTCAGTAAAATGTAGCAATTTGCTCTTGTGACTTATTAATAAAATTACTTTGACTTGGGTGTGGGCTTCTTTTTTTTCTTGTGCTGACATTAAGGACATGTTGAACAATGGTGTTACTGTAATTGTTAATAAGCTTTTACTCCTTGTGCTGCAATGACTTACTCTGTAACACGTGACAAATCGTTAACTGTGTGCCTCAGTTTCTTTAGCTGTGAGATGCAGAAGAATAGATTTAGACATGCTGGTCCAGTTTCAGTAAACGCGGTTACGCAGGAGAAGCAGCCCCCCAGCAATGGGCACTGAAGCATTTTGGTATGAATTTGCTCTTTCCAATGACAAAGGTTTCAGCAGGGCCGATGTACTACGTGCTCGATGGATGATGAGAGTGCGGGCTCTGTGCTGGCTGATTGCAGCCAGATACAAGCTCCTGCCTTGCAGTTTCCCGAATAAACATGACTCTCATTTTCCTAATATAGCAGATGGTGGATGGTCGAACTTTCCCCCTCTCCTTCCCTATGGGTGGGCACACGGCCCTTCTTCAGCAGGCAACAATGTTTTCCTTGCATTGTGGCAGCCGTTACTTTTAACATTTCTAGGTGCTTTAGTTCTTTAAGCGTTTCTGAAAACAAAGTTACAATTTTGAACTGAAGTTGTACTAGCCTTTATCTTAAAAGTTGGAAGGGCTGAATAAAAAAGGCGCATGTTTCCTGCCTTAGGGTCTCGGGCTGCAAGCGAGCTGAGATGCAGGGACACAGCTGACCCTTCGTTCTGTCAGCAGGGGCTCAATTTGTGGGAGGGGGTGCAGGCACAGCCCACGCTCACAAAATGCACGCCCAGCCGGCGCTCCGTTCAGCCTGTATTGGCTTTTGTGCAGTGGCTGAAAAATCAGTGCTGCTAGCAAATACGAAGTTTAACTATGTCCAGACACGCCTCGGGCAGGCTCGCACAGACGCTGTGCTGTGTCGTGTGCCTCATCGGTTCAGGGATTTGTGCGCCACTTGCCTGGAAGGGGCACTTGAGTGTCCTCTTGCACAGCACACTGGGGCATCCTGGTCCGGGAATAAACTTTGGGGATTTTTCAAGGTACAGTTACCGGAATAAATGACAGTTACTGCCTGCGGCAAGTTTTATTCCTTTGACTTGTGTGCCACAGAAAATTGTGTTTCCGAATGTAAAGTAAAATGACTGCTTTCTCCTCGTGCTGGCATCAGTCCCTGGTATCCAATCTAATTCATCCTCTTTCTGCTTTTGTTTTCTTTTTTTTTTTAGCAGAAGTCACCATGAAACTGTGCATTTCTCCTGTGGGCCTTTCCGTTTCTCTCTCTCTCCCTCTCTCTGCAGAAGGAGAAGTGGAGGCAGCAGTGTGGGCTCTCAGGAACCCCCATTCACAGCACAGCCATCCCGTAGCAGACTCGGGGAGCAGCTGGGGAGAGAGAGCAGGTAACGCACTCTCCTCAGGAGAGATTTACAGTTTGGAGACAGTGATGAGGGACGGACAGTAAAGCAGCTGCCCGCAGCGATCGCTTTCAACAGCTCACTGATGTAGGATGTGACCTGGGAAGCAGGACTGAACCACCTTGTTTTGTTGCCTCTCTGGAGGAATATATACACTTGGTACAGCTCCCATCTCCTGGCTGTCAAGAATAACACACGATCGCCTTGCTAAAGATCGTTCATCATTTTCATAGCACAATGCATTCTGCTACTGAGAGGTGGCGGGGGCTGCGGGGGTCTTACTGTCAACGCTTTTGAGTCCATACCCTTCAGGTGTCTTTGAAAGGGTGAAAGCTTTGCTCCCCAAAAGTAGTTTAGGTTTGTTTTGGGGGGGGTTGTGTTGGGGTTTTTTTTGTCAGCTAGGAAAAAAGCAATTTGGGGCTGGTATAAAGATTCTACACCTGTGAAGAGATTGCATGGGAGATTACACTGGGAGGAAACAGTTGGGCAGAAAAAAACATTAATATTAATAGAAAACACTCCAGAGAGTGAAGAAGAGGGAGGGAGGACATACCATTCCTTCAGATGAAAAACGCAGTTTATTTTCATGGCGATTTTTTGTGTTTGTGGGGGGGGGTTCTCCCTCACATACCATGTATCTAAAAGTGCAAAGTGAGGTTGATTTTTGGTCCGAAAACATGAGCCTGTTTTACCGCAGCTAGTGGAAAATCTTGGTGCATTGATGTAGTATGAAAATTTATGTAAAAGTGGTTCCAGTAACATCACGTTGGCAGCATTAACTCAGGCAAGGGGAATATTTCAAGTCCTCCAGGATTAGAGTTTAAAAAAAAGGTAGGAGAAATGGTACTGAATTGAGGGCTTTGAAGATAGTTTTTTTTGGTACCTATGTATTATTTTCCACTTTAATCCAAACTTTTCCCATGTGGTGCATACCTGTTTCTTCACAACCAGCTTAAGAGAGCAGTGGCCATGTTTTCTGCAAGACTCCGAGCAAACTGTGCATGGTCAGTGGGCTTTCTAATAAATTAGGTGGGCAACCAGATGGCTGCAAAATCTGTGATGCTGCCGTCCCTTGTTATGTGTCCTTTGGCTGGATATCTTAATGCAAAGGCATTTCACAGCCAGTTAGTAGTTAACTAGTAACATCCGCACCAGGCACTTCGGGGTGCCTACAAATGAAGGGAAGTGCGGACGGTGAGGGGGGGTCTCGCCCTGGGCTGCGGAGAGCAGGGGCTGTGCTGCTTCCCAAGTGGCTGCAGGAGCTGGTAGCTGCCTGTCCTGCTTGCTGAACTTGACAAGTACAAAATCTTCGTGCACTCGGAGCATCGGGTCCTACTGGCAGAACAGGCACTGTCCTGCCTGGTTTTCGACTCCAGGATTTAGCCTGAACAAGGAACGTACGAGAAGGGAGGGTTTCCTGACAAAGGCAATCATTCCCTAGCAGCCGACAGACACCGCTGCACATAAAGACTGCGGTGGCAGCTGAGCACTGCTTTGAAGAATATCCCTAGTAGCCAAACAGTGGATTTAGATACGTGGCCAGGCAGAGGCTGTGGGCCTGACCTGTGCTATGCTCAAAAATGACATCATCTTTTTGGGAGTCTTCCCTGTGAAAATGATAGAAATTCTCAGGTTCCCTTCCCTCTCCCTGAAATAGGGTCACCGCCAGCTGTCTTCTATTTCCCGAAGCCAAATAAATATATCAGCTCACTGGGGGATGAATTAGTGTTACAATTTAAATATTCCTGGCTGAAAGATCCAGAATTGATCTGATTTGCTGCACTTATTGTGACTTTACAGCTTGATTCCCAGAATATTTTGTATGTTTGCAAAAAGGTACTCCGCTATACTTGTGATTTGAAAAAAACCTATTTTTTATGCAACTTAGTCACTAGCTTTCATTTTTTATTAACTATATAAATATTCAGATAAGACAAGAAGCAATGTTTCAAAACCCCAAATGCTCGGGGAAAGATTCAGCATTTAAAAGGCTGTGGATCTCTTTCAGTGCTGGTTTCCCTTACTGCAGTTCTCTCTGGGATACCTGCACTAATTTTGAGAAGTGCCCCCGTGTTTTGTTGCCTTCTATGATGCTTCTCAGGGTACCGATTAATAACTGTTGTGCCTGTGAACGAGCCGCATGGGCCGGTAGGAAACTGGGCTGGGTGTGCTCCGTGCCCCTGTGGTGCTCCGGGGTTGCCGGTGTTGGCAGACACGTCCCTCAGCAGCCAGGCTGAGCTCTGGGCTCCGGTTTCCCCTGTGCTCACAGGCATTTGAGATGGAGAATTTGATTTGGGTACACCCTCAGGGGTTTTTTTTGTTTGTTTGTTTGTTTTTTCCCCCCAAATAATTCAGGCAAGTTAAAGCTGACCCGGTGTTGATGGGAAAGAGGGAAGCTGTTCTCAGTGATGGTCCAGCAAGGGGACACAAAGCGGTGGCTGGGTTAGGCACAGGCTGCTACTGCAGCCCCGGGCTGGGGCTCAGTCCTGCTGCCTGCCACTGCAGCATCTGCCAGTGTCTGAAGTACTTGCTCATGCCCTGTGCTGCAAATAGTGGATTATTTTATAAACAGCTCTGGTAATTCTATTCTGCAGCTTTTTACTTCAGTAGTTTCAGCTTAGCACTGACAGTTTTGACAATTTTTCAAAGCCAGAGAGGAACCTTCTCCCTCCTTCCTTCCCTGTGTCAAGCAGGTAACATCCCATTTTTTCCCCCTCTTTGTGCGTAAATTACAAGCCATTATTGCTGGCTTTCAG